AAAATTTATTTTGATCCATTTATTATATACCGAAGAGAAAAATTCAAGATGGCCGACCTGAAGAACTTACGCAACACTCGTAAAGATAATTCGAGCCCACGTAAAAATTGCCTCAATTCGCGATAAATACTAAAAAATGTATCAAAATAAATTTTACAGCATCGAACGTAGATTGAGAACCAATATGGCGGATCGTATGTCCGTTCCTCCAGGTAAACGAGTACGTCCAACGATAATAATAATTGCAAACAATCGACGAAGAAGAGAATGGAACGAGGTGGTCATAAAGTGGAATTAGGGACAGGATGTTACAGAATCGGGCAATAAATATGGTTGGTAAGCCCAGGAATGGTCGAGTCACGATACAGAAACGTAACCACGACTGTTCCGTCGCTCGACGCGTGTCACGCGCCTAACCGCTCGCCCAACTTTACGACCACGAATTAGGATTAGATTCCAGGCTGCGTCCGTTCGATATCATCTGGCTCGTTTAATTCGCACCATCATCCATCGATAAGCTTCTTTTCGTCGAATGGTCGCCATCGCGAACGAGAACGTTTATAATAACACTTACCAACCCTTAATCTTTCCCGTTCCGTAAATATAATCTGGAAAACCGTGGAAAAACTTCGGACATTGGGACGCTCCCGGGGACGCTGGAGGTTCGTCTTCTTGCGAACCGCGAATCTCCGTCGGGAGGGGGAGGGGGGAGCCCAATCGAAAAGTCATTACAACTTTTTGCCGACTCAATCAAGAAGTTAATGTCCTTTAACCTCCAGGCGTTCCCCGTAGAGTTCACGGGGAATCTCGGGAACCGCGCAAGAACTTGGACGGCTCTCACATGCCGGGCGAGATAGATCGCGGGAGCTTATGATTGATCGCCTATTGGCTCCGCGGGCCTGGCCAGCCTTTTTCCCATCGTTTCTTCCGCGATATCGGCGAATTATTGCGCCGCGGAACCACCGCCCGGGATCCCCCTCTCGCCTTATTTTTAACGTCCGACGAGAGCTCGACCCAATTATCGCCACGTTTACGAGGTTAGAAGAATTCCAATTTTTTTGGAAAACACGTGTCTCACCGAGAGATTTTTTTTTGAACTGAAAAGTTTCAGATTCGATAATTATTTTGGAAAGTTTTGGGAAGTGAAACACTGTTAACCCCTTGCCATGCAATGACGAGTCTGGCTCGTTACAAGTTTCTCAATCAAGGCTCATTTATTACGGGATATTCGTGAAACAAATCTACTCTTTCTTGTGGGCGTTCCTTGTACGAACAAATGTAAACAAAATTGAGTGGTGTATGTTTGAAAAATTATTTGAAATTGAATCCTACGTCAGGGGGTTGAAGTAATCTTCTACTTTAGTGCTATGTGTAATTATATGTAAATCAATGGGTACATTGCCCCCGTAAAATAAGTAACAATAGTAATTTTGGAATCGATTTGCAACGTGGTTCATTCAATGGGGATAGCAGTGGTCGAAGATGATGATAAAAAGGTCCGGTTTTGGGAGAGCCGTATGTCACCTGGAGGGCTCACGGTATTTATCGAACTGGCGATAAACGGGCGAGAATTCGTCAGGAAGATAATCCCGGCAGAATGATGACAGCCCTCCCCCGTGTGTCTGCCACGGTACCTTCTGTCCAACGCGGTCGATTTAACACGCCTCGTTTCTCTTGGTCGGCCACTTTGGCTCCTAAGATGACCGTCCACGAGACCTAAAACAGTCATCAACGAGCAAACTCAAAGTCTCGATCCCTGAAGACCCTAGATCCCCCTAAGATGCAACGTTCCAAGCTCAGTTCAGGAATCACCACTTCGGTACTATTAAAAAAGCGATTCCTTGGATACAAATAAAAGGTGGAGAGCCTAATTTAGGCCTGGAATAGTCATCCATCACGAGTAAACTCAAACTTTAGAACTTTGAAGACCCTAGGTCACTCAAGATGCAACGTTCCAAGCTCAGTTTACGAGGCATCGTTTCGCCACTGTTAAAAAAGCGATTCCTCAGACAAAGAGCCTATTCAGATCTAAACCAGTCATCTACCACGAGTTCACTCAAACTCTCGAACCCCAAAGATCCTAGATCCCCCTAAGATGCAACGTTCCAAGCTCAGTTCACGAAGCACCATTTCGCTACTATTAAAAACGCGATTCCTTGAATACAAATAAAGGATAAAGAGCCTAATATAGACCTGGAATAGTCATCGATCACGAGTAAACTCAAACTTTAGAACTTTGAAGAGCCTAGATAACCCAAGATGCAATGTTTCAAGCTCAGTTTTAGAAGCACCACTTCGGTACTATTAAAAAAGCGATTCCTTGGATACAAATAAAAGGTGGAGAGCCTAATTTAGACCTGGAATAGTCATCGATCACTAAACTAAAACTCTCGAACCCTGAAGACCTTGGATAACCCAAGATGCAACGTTCCTAGTTCAGTTCATGAATCACCCTTTTGTTACTGTTAAAAATGCGAATCCTTGGATACAAATAAAAGATGAAGATGTTAAATTTAGGCCTGGAATAGTCATCGATCACGAGTAAACTCAAAATCTCGAACCCTGAAGACCTTGGATAATCCAAGATGCAACGTTCCAAGCTCAGTTTACGAGTTACCGATTCGCCACTGTTAAAAACGCGATTCCTTGAATACAAATAGAGGATAAAGAGCCTAATTTAGACCTGGAATAGTCATCCATCACGAGAAAGCTCAAACTCTCCATCTTGGAAGACCCTAAATAACCCAAAATACAACGTACCTAGTTCAGCTCACGAATCACCATTTCGCTTATAGTATTAAAAAAGCGATTCCTTGAGTACAAATAAAAGGTGAAGAGCCTAATATAGACCTGGAATAGCCATCCATCACGAGTAAACTCAAACTCTCCAACTTTGAAGACCCTAAATAACCCAAAATGCAACGTACCTAGTTCAGCTCACGAATCACCATTTCGCTTATAGTATTAAAAAAGCGATTCCTTGAGTACAAATAAAAGGTGAAGAGCCTAATTTAGACCTGGTATAGTCATCCATCACCAGTAAACTCAAACTCTCCAACTTTGAAGACCCTAGGTCAACCAAGATGCAACGTTCCAAGCTCAGTTCACGAATCACCGTTTCGCCACTATTAAAAAAGCGATTCTTCCAATACGAATAGAAGACAAAGAGATCTAAACCAGTCATCTTACCACGAGTCTCTCAAACTCTCGAGCCCCGAAGATCCTAGATCCTAGATCCTAGATCCCAGATACCCCTAAGATGCAACGTTTCCAGCCCGGTTAACGGAAGCACCGCGGTAAAAAAAAGCGATTCCTCGAACGCGAATGGAAGACTCGAAGGTGGGAGGGGGTAGGGGGATGATCGTTCGCGGGATAATCGTGGCGGAGGTCCATCAGCGGATTCGACGAGTCTGCCGAACGTCCAATATCCAGGAGGTCGAGCATAAAAGGGGAGTCGAGGCCGGGCGCGGGCGTTAAAAATATTCAAGATCGTTTGTCAGGCTGAATTACAGCCCCGGGTACGTGTGCATCCCACACCCACCCCCACCCACCCACCCTTCTTTTTCCCTCCTCCTCGAGTGATCGCGGGTGACGGGGTAACGGGATCCTGCGGAACACGCGTTGCGCAACGCGAAAAGGCTAGACGAGGAAAGGAGTCCAGGACCACGACCACGGCCACGACGACGACGACGACGACGATCCCGGGCACATGTGTCGAACCTGAAATATGTAGGCGTGGTCTGTACGGGACTAGCAGACGCGTCCCGACGACCGAATATGTTCACCCCGTTGGTACGCTCCACCCCCGTCTAACCCTGGAACGGTTTCCATTGGCCGGCGCCACCCTCGTTGCGCCTCCACCTGCCACGCAGAGCTACCCTTCGCGGGATTCTACCCCTAAATACAGGGGATGCGCGGCCGGTTCCCTCATTTTAACGCGCTCCGTCGACCCACGCTGTGCCCTCGGGTCACGTCTCGCGCGATCTCGCCTATTGCGTTCGGTACTCCCGAGTGTTTACGTCGGATTCAGTGGGGAAACGCGCTCACGTGCCACCGCGGGGACGTTGTCCGGCAGGATGGACGAGTGCCAGCCCAAGACGTAGATACAACCACGGGGGGTGGAGAACAAGGCTCAACGATCCGCGCTACGAGGATTCTCGTTTGGACGCGTGCTCCGGTAAGTACAGATCAAACTACTCCTTTGGAAGGCGGTCGGAAACAATGTTCGTTGCGTGTAACTTGTTGTAGGAAAGTCATTCTTTCTTAATCCTTTGATCACGGATGATTTTGATGCGAGCACAAGATGTGCGTGAAATACTTTTTCGTGTCTTGAGCAACGCTCATAGAGTGTCTATGGACAGGTTTAGTAGTTGGAGGGTTAGATGAGACCGGTTGTTGCGTTCTTATTTTTCATTAGCGTATCGTTAGTGTCTGTAGTGAGTAGGCTCTATCATTTTGTAGTTAATCTTTAACCCTTAAGTGGATACCCCAAGTATCAAGTTTAAACTAATAATTGTACAATATATGTCAATGTAATTATCTGAAAATTTATCTAATTCTATTGAGATTGAGAGTCTACTTAAGGGTTAATTTGATACTTGCTACAAACGCTCGCCGACAGAGGGCCACGCTAGAGTCCTACCTTTCTCGCAAGTACTCGACCATCGAGTATCCCTAGCCTCTAAAACAAAGCCTTCTTTCCTCCAATCTAAAATAGAAGTTGGTTTCCTCCAAAGAGTGTATTTCTAAACCCTTTAAAAGTTTCTTAATACGTAAATTACGATCGACGTTAAGTCTTCTCGAATTTACACGGATTATCCATCCCCCATAAATAAGCACGAACATCGATTCTCATTGACCCAATTAGCTCCCTCCCAGGACACATAACCGCGACACCTGGTCCGGGTGTCCAGGCGCGATTCCTCATCCATCACGTCCGTATCCCGTTAAATTGACCGTCGGTCGTCATTGTCGCAGGTCGATCATCCGTAACGAGCACGATGACAATGGAAGATCGCACGGGTGGCATCGACCGTGCCGCCCCCGCCGCGTCGACGACGGCCACGACGGCGCTCACGTCGTCCAGCCCGTCGTCCGTCAGCGACGTCGCCCCCGACGCGTCGTATCCCCTGCAGCGGGCCAGCAAACGTTCCTTCGACGTGGCGTTCCTGGTGGCGCCCGACGAGAACCTGGCGCGTCGTCAGAGCGAGAAGATGAGGCTGGTGTCCGGCCGTAAGGACCGTCATCGGGAGACAGCATCGGAGAGGATCGTCGAGGTGGTGGATACGGACAGGCTGCCCCAAAACCTCACGATCAAGAGCTACGAGAGCGACACAGGAGGCTCCGACAGGAGGAGGCTGATGCAGTGCACGGAGAACTCGCTGAGTCCTCCGTACATCTCCCCCAGGACTCTGACGCCTACTCTGCCCAGTCTCTCGCCCGACAACGACGCCCGGAGGTTCATTCCCGGCTCCCGACTACAGAAAACACCCAGCCCCCCAGGATTCGCTGGCCACCAGCCGCTGTTGACCTGTCCCGACACGGTGGAGCCGGTGCTCGCCTGCAACAAGGCGTACGAGTCCTCGAGCATCACCTGTCCCGGCGACAGACACGAGTCCCGCAGCGCGTTCACGAAAGTGACCCTGTCAGGGCAGAGGAACGGGTTCAACGACGACGGCCAGACGTCCCCCAGGTCCTCCATATCGCCTGACGATCGCGCCAGCTACCAGAGCAGCGTCAGCCCGCCGGTGGTCCCGTTCACCACCGCCGCCAGCTACAAATACGCACCGTTCCCCGCGAAGATGAGCTACCCGTTCCTGGTGGGCCCGGAGACCGGTCAACCGGACCTCCTGCAGAACCTCAAGATACCTCAGATCGCCCAGCCGCCCAAAGTACCCAGCCCAAAGATGCCCAGCTTCCGGCCGGATCTGCCGCCAGTCTACCCGAATCTCTCCTACAATCCGATCTCCGTTTTCCCGCCGATGGCGGACGCCCTCGCCAGGCCCCGTTTCCTGGCGACCGCCGCCGGAGTGGCGGGCCTGCTGCCCCCCTCCTTCGCCGCGCTGACCCTGCCGGCGCAGAACGTCTGCGCAAAGTGCAACCTCTCGTTCCGTATGACGTCCGACCTGGTCTACCACATGAGATCGCACCACAAGAACGAGAACGTGGGCGAGTCCTCGAGACGACGGAGGGAGGAGAAGCTCAGGTGTCCCGTGTGCGACGAGAGCTTCCGGGAGAGGCATCACCTCACCAGGCACATGACCGCCCACCAGGACAAGGAGAGCGACGCGATCGTCGACCAGGTAGAGGTCAAGAGACGAGCCACCACCGTGCACAGCAAGTGACGACGGAAATCGCCGTCCAAGGATCCCGCGATCCTCACCACTGGCTACTCCTTCGACAATTGAGGATTTGTTAAAAACCGAGACCCCCCTCGAGGAGAGCTTTTGGAAGTGACGTCGACAGTGAGTATCGGAATTTTGTTCATTTTTAACGCCCCTCGAGGCGTTGTTTTCGATTTCACTGGGGTTTTTCTTTTTTTTTGGAGTCGAATTGTATATTGCACTATCAGTAGTCCGCGTTGCACGGCCCTTTCACACGGAGTTAACCCTTTGAGCGCCGTGAACTAACTCTGAAATTTCTCTGAAAATTGGTGAGTGGTTATGTGAATAGTCCCCTACGCGTTCATGGCGCTCAAAGGGTTAGTAGTACGATATTTACCTGGTATACGTGTACGATAAGGAGATAATCGAGTACTCTACCGTTTATCATAGCAGATTTTATCTTACGATAAGGAGACATTCCCTCTCTAGTCAATATTAGGTAGGTGAAATTTGTACATAGTTCGATTAATCGGAATCTATCGTAGCTCTAAGGGCACCGTAGGTCGCTGGAACGGTCCTTGGATCCCGAAATGGGACTAGTTTCCACCTTCTACGAAGAGTTCTCGCGTCGATATCGACGAAACCCTCGAGCATCGAGCTTTCGTTCGTTTAACTGATCGATCGCGAACCCCGCAGCGATGGCAAATTAACAGCGCGCGATAAGATTTTACCGATTCGCGTTAAATTTTATTGGAGACTTTTATTTCGGCTACTTTGTTCCCTTTTCAAACCAGTACTCTGTAAAACGCCATTAAAGAGAATTCTCGTTTGATTGAAATATACACTAGCGACGGGAAACGAGTATTCTCGTTTTACGACAAACGAGTATATTCGTTGGTAACATAACACGTTTTCATTTAGAAATATTTGCAAAAAACATTTATTCTAATAGATATCAATGAGCAACAGTTGTGAAATATGTTTAGTTTCAAAATTTGTACGTTTTTTTCTACATTTAAATCCGAGTGCAAGTAGCAAATACTATTTGTACTCGCGATTTAAACATTCAACGAAATAGTATATTCAGGATATTTATTAGTCAAATCGATGAAGTCAAAGTTTTGTGTTGAAGGAAAGTCGATTTTTCAGTTACCAATTTGTTAAAAATGGCCGTCAAGTAAAATAATTCGGATCGAGAGTCCACTTGAGGGGTAAGACCACTGCAGAAACCTGAAATAAAGCGTTTCTTTGCGATTTTTTTTTCTAGATGGTTGGAAAAATAAGTAATAATATTCAAGAATGTTGTTAAGTATTAAAAAAAAAATATTTATTCAAAAATAGTGCAAAATTACGATGGTGAAGCCATCTGTACGCAAATTTGTATCTGGAAAAAAACAAAAATATTTTCTCTTAATCTGCATGAGTATAGCTAGAGAAATACGTAGGGGATTTTTGGAATATTAATTTTTATGTGATTGGCGAGTATTTTAAGTAGAAAGTTCAATTTCGTACAAAAAATGGGGCAATCATTTGTCAATAAATAATGTTTTAACTTATGGAAGATCCCCTAGATCTCTAGCTATACTCTTGTAGATTAAGAGAAAATTTTTTGTTTTTTTTCCAGATACAAATTTGCGTCAATTACACTGCGTTGCGCAGAACGCCTCAAATTCAAAACATGGCACACGAGAATGGCTCGAGTGTTGTCATTTTGCACTATTTTTGAATAAATACTTTCTTTTTAACACTTAACGACATGGTTAATAACATTCTTGAATTTTGAATATTATTATTCTCTTACTTTATCTCTTACAATTTTGAATATTATTATCCTCTTACAATTTTGAATATTATTATCCTCTTACTTTTTCTCTTACAATTTTGACTATTATTATCCTCTTACTTTTCCTCTTACAATTTTGAATATTATTACCCTCTTACTTTTCCTCTTACAATTTTTAATATTATTATCCTCTTACTTTTCCTCTTACAATTTTAAATATTATTATCCTCTTACTTTTCCTCTTACAATTTTGAATATTATTATTGTAGGATTGAAAAAAAAGAGAATTGTATTTGGAACGAATGTACAAATAATATAATTAAATGAACGAATTTGAAATACACCAAGCACACAATCTCTTTACACAAATCAAAATCACATTAATTGACCACACAAATTCAAATCACGTCTGTCTTTTCCAATCACTCGTTACTCTCTGCCCGTTGTCTCGCTGCCCCTAGTAACCCCTTCTTTTTTTAACAAAACACTTTCAACCCTTTTGCACATAAGTTAACATTGCACCAAACTACAACGTGACACAAATCTCCTACATTATCCTCTTACTTTTCCTCTTACAATTTTGAACATTATTATCCTCTTACTTTTCCATCCATCCAAAAAAAAAGAATTGCAAAAAAACGCTTCATTTCAGGTTTTTACAGTGATCGTACCCCCTAATACGTTCACCGCCAGATAAAAACTGTATAATATTCTGCAAGATTAAAATTTTGATTTCACACCAAGCTGCATAATTGTAAGCTACATAACCTAAAATTTGTTTCGGTACTTATTTTCGTAGCCTAGTTAATATTCACAAATTCCATCCAAATTTACTTCCCTCGACATCTTAACTTAAGAAAATTAATTATTCTAGTATAATAATGGTAAATCCTGTCACCCATATATAGGTAACGTGGCAGTCAAAGTGTTACAAATTAATGCATTCGAGTAGGGGGGTGTATATCGCCCAATTTCCAAATTATTTAACACAAAAAATTCTCGAAGGCCAAGGTACAGAGATTTGCGAAATTTGCCATCGCTGGTACGATACGTTAAAAAGGTGGATCTTTTCGGTATTTTGTCGACGTTTAGCGCGTAGGCAGGTGATCCGGAGGGGTGGAAAATGCAGGTGGAGCATGGAACGTTCGCAGGCGGGGGCAGGACGCGTAAGCCGCGGTCGTTCGTGCATCGGGGCGGCAATAAATAGATCGTAAACCGTACCCCGGGCTAACACACGAACCGTCGGAGCGCGCATAATGGTAGGAAACAATGAATGCCGTAATCGGAAACAGTGCCGGTTTGTTATCTGCCATTTACACTCCATTTAACTTCAAACAGTGAATCGGCTGGCGCGCATTCGCGTTTTAAATACACGCGACCTCCGCAGCCGCCGCCACCCCCCCTCTCCTCGTCGTTTGCACTCCGCCCACGCTCGGAGCAGCGGCGATTCCCGTCGACGTACGGCTTAACATAGGGTTAACCTGCCGACCGGAGTGGTTTAATATTGTCCGGAATTGCTTGACTTATCGCCACCTCCGTTCCCCGGGAGGGGGGCTTAATGCTTGCTTATTTCGCCACCGATGTTTTGGACGTAGCTCTACGGTCACCTGTGGGTAGCGATGGATACAATCGCGATTGGATACACTCCGAAATATTCTAGTCTAAACTTAAACTCGAAAAGAAAGTCTCCGGGAATAATCAAATTTAACGCTAGAACTACCAAAACTGATCAGAATTCGTGATATTCCAAAATTTACTGGATCAAATTTTTAACAATCGTGGCTTTTCTACGAGGGAATTAATAAATATTTATTTCTACAGTTTTAATTTCTCCTGGTAGTCCTGGCGTTAATTTATTTAGAAACACAAATGTTACGAATCGAAGGAATCTCCCTGATGTTATTCTTCGTAGAAGGAGGAGTCTTTTCTCACAAATCGATTCTTATCGATACTTTTGATCCGTCGTAGAATCGATATTCCAAGCGACCAGCGACTAATCGGATAAAATCGATAGGGAATAGAATCGAAGAGTCGAAAGAGTCGTATCGAGTCGATTGTTATCGATACTTTCGATCCGTCGTAGAATCGAAGAGTCGAAAGAGTCATATCGAATCGATTATTATCGATACGTAGAATCGATATTCCAAGCGACCAGCGACTAATCGCATAAAATCGATAAGGAATAGAATCGAAGAGTCGAAAGAGTCGTATCGAATCGATTGTTATCGATACTTTCGATTCATCGTAGAATCGATATTCCAAGCGACCAGCGACTAATCGAATAAAATCGATAAGGAATAGAATCGAAAAGTCGAAAGAGTCGTATCGAATCGATTGTTATCGATAGTTTCGATCCGTTGTAGAATCGATATTCCAAGCGACCAGCGACTAATCGAATAAAATCGAAGAGTCGAAAGAATCGTATCGAATCGATTGTTATCGATACTTTCGACCCATCGTAGAATCGATATTCCAAGTGACCAGCGACTAATCGAATAGAATCGAGGAGTCGAAAGAATCGTATCGAGTCGATTGTTAACGATACTTTTGACCCGTCGTAGAATCGATGTTCCAAGCGACCAGCGACTAGTGGAATAAATTCGATAAGGAATAGGATTAAAGACTACAGTATTCTGTACAGCAATAATTACCAGTAGCGTGTATATACATATATATATATATATATCTCGTCGTTCTATTCGGAGCGAGAAGTCGTTGTCGCGAGAAAGAGGAGGTATAATAGCGTTGTGAAGCGCGAATAGTTGCGTGGGTGTTGAGCGATAACGTATCCCCGTATCGACACTTAGGGTATCGCGGGTCCATACGATACGCGTTGTTCAAGTTCTACGATTCTAAGCCAAATTGTAAATTACTCGTCGTTTAGATATAAGGATATCGATGTTCTGTTTCGTTTTTATAAGAATTATTTATCGATGTAAATATCACTCTGTACATAAGCACTGTATGTACCCGGAATCGTTGTTAACGAATAAAAAGAGTATCCCGTGAGAAACGTCTTTATGTCACTACTCCCATTACTACGTTCCGCCATTTTCCTTCCTTACTCTATACCTTCGTACTTTCTTTCGTTTTTATTGATCAATGGAAGCAAGGATATATTTTCTAATCCATTTGATATTAAACTCACAAAATTTACAAATAATTTATATATAAATATTATTTTCAATATTGATATGACGTCCAAGGAAAGAAATTGGTCCTCAAAGGTTGAAATTCA